AGGCTGAAATTTCATGGGGGATGGTCAGGCTGGACTAGGCCACCCACCATGCCAGGGGAGAGGGGGGTCAGGCTGAGGCGTGTCTGCAAGAGGGAGTAGAGGGGGTTTTTAAGGGATCCCTGAGGCTGGATGCTTCGGCGAATAAGATCCCCATATGCCCCATATTCCGTCTACTTAAGGGGGACTATCGTCCTCAGTAGGGACCCTTTGAATCCCTAGTTTGAGAAACGTTCATTCAGGTTCCCCTTTAATTTTTCCCCTTTATGGCCAAAAATGCGATCTTCCCGATTACAGGATGGAACTATAAGCTCCAAGACCCGAAGCATGTGAGCTGTAGGCTGATCTCCTTATAGAGGGTTATACAGGGCATTATATAGGGGAACCCTAAACCCTAAACCCTAAAACCCTAAACCCTAAACATTAATGGGGATCCTAGGAGTTTAGACTATAGCTCATATGTAAGGAAAGGCTGCCTTCGTTTCGCATCAGTGGGTGGGCGAGACGCATCCAGATCCTGAGTTCAAACAGTTTCGCGTGCTTCAGGACCTTGCCTTCACATCTTTCTCTAGGGCCTACACTCCCCCAAACTAACATGGAAACCCATATAGCCCCTTTTAGAGGGACTGTAGTCTTCATAGGGCCCCTTATGGGTTTCCATGTTAGTTTCCGGGAGTGTAGGGTTTAGGGGTGCTTCACGGGTCGTGTTTGATATTAAGCCCTACATGCTAGTGGTGGGGTAGCGTTGCAACCTGGGTGCAGTCGGCCTCGCAGAATTTCCCCCGCCGGCCCTATTACTGTAGTCTCCTTAGGAAATATGTCCCTTTTGATTGTAGAATGACCCCAAGGAAATGTTACACATACAAACTAGCATGTGTATTACAGGCCTAGCAAAATAACAGCTAGAACCTTGCTGAATCGTCATTGGTGCTCCGGCCACAGTTTCACACACGGTTGGTGGATAAATCCTGCATGACCTTATGCGTGATTACTATAGTACCACAGTTCCTACGAGGATGTTCATGGGATTTACTGCTTAGAAACCTACTTATACTCCGTTTAGGGGCGGTTACCCCACTGGCAAGTAGGGCTCTGATGAGTTACAAGGGTTCACTAAGTCCCATCAACCTTCAAGTAGGGTTTAGGGTGTAGGATGTAGGTTTAGGATCATCAAAATTTCTGTTCTTGAAAAAGCCATGATGGAACTTGATGACCTTGTATTTGCCTTCTGGACGCGCAGGATAACTGCATAGTTTCCTCAACAGGATCTGTGGATCCACCCACAATTAGGTCATATAGAATTTTGTCCATCTAGCAGTACTGGACCCCTGAGCAGAGATGCGCAACATCACGTGGGTATCAATCAGCAAGGAATGTGCAAGCCAGCTGGTGTTCGAATCCGGACTTAAAAGGGGCTTATAGGGGGTTCAATAGTGTATATTTGGGGATGGTATAGGGCAAGCGGATGTTGGCCCTAAGGACGGAAACTGAAAAATGGCAAGTGAGAGTTGCTACATGGGTTTTAGGAGTCATTAACCTACTTACTTACTCAGTCCCCATGACAATTCCGGTAGGGTACAGGGTGTCTTAGTTCAAGCAGTGTGGGGTGTAGCCAGATGCCCAGATTACCTCAAGATTGAAGGTTGCTGTTGAGGAACTTAAATCCAGCTACCATGATATGGGTATATAGTGAACCTAAACGCTAGACACTAAACTCTTCACCCTAAATAATTGGGTCTCCTTATTATTAGTAGGTAAAATTAAGTCCCTTAACAGCAAACCAGGATTTCTTTACAATAGCCATGCCCAGTCCCTGTTGCTTATCATTCTGACTGTTACTTGGCGGGTCTTCGGGACTTAGTAAGTAGGTTAACAACCCCTATATCCCATATAGTAACACTAGTTATCTCCATGATGGCCCACTCACTGAGTCCCCCTGACCCCCAAGTATCGCCAGGCAATAGTAGTTGTTATTTATTGTCCATTTCCTTGTCATTGATTTTCCAGACTGACCAATCACGGATGACGTGGTGGGACTGGTGACCCTGATCATTAAACCCTTTCATCACCTTGTACTGCAAACCCCTAGACCCTAAACCCCTTGTTGAGGTTGCGTTTCTGGGGTAAACGGTTTCCACAGCAACCTTCGTGTTGGAGCCCACCTCCCAACGCTGCTAGATGTCTTGCAGGATGCGTTGAGCTACATTATGACTGAGCTTGAGGTAGTTGCGCCAGACGTCTACTCGCAACTCGCATGCAACTCTCAGCCACTGTCGACAAGACCATTTCGGACACATCGCATCTTTGTTTGGTACGATTATTTCTGCTGCCCACAGTTGGACGACAAATCCAGCGGCCACTTGGGTGAAGACGACGAACTTTCCAAGGCAGTGGGCAGCATCCCTGCATATGTGGGTCGATGTGAGTTTTTCTTGGCCCTCTGCCCAGTTGTGGAGGCCAAGTGCTTGTCAAAAGTAATCTCATATGACACATGGTCCCAGAGAGGTTGGTGTCGTGTAGAATTGGAAATGCGAAAGCTCTCCTGTGACCATACTTGGATTATGATCAAAAATGGCAGAATGCTTGAAGCAATTGCCACACTTGGTGGCAGCATTGGCGGATCTCCAGGAGAGGGCCAGTTGCTCGGTTACTGCTAAGGAATTTAAATTTTGTTGCTACCATAAGGAAACCTTATTGCTTACTATATACCCATATTATGTTTCCTTAAACAACCCGAAAAACCAAAATTAAGGTTGTAGCCTGGGAGAAGAATCTGGGAATTAATGAAAAACACTATTATGGCAACTTAAACCCTAACCCCCCAAACCCTAAACCCTACGCCCTTCACCTAAACCCTGAGCCCCAAACTCAAAACCCTAGACCCTACATACCCATATTATGGTAAGTTCGCTTAAGTTCCCTTATAGCAACTCAGGTTTACTGTTCCAGAGGACAGAGTCAGATTAGCTCCCGTGGTGCTGGGCGCTCTGTCGCGCAAGCTAGACTTGTTGCCGGGCTGCTGTTAAGGAACTTGGGTTTAGGGTCTAGGGGTTTTAGGGTTTAGGGGTTTTAGGGTTTAGGGGTTTTAGGGTTTAGGGGTTATAGGGTTTAGGGGCTTTAGGGTTTGGCGTTATGAAGCCTCATTTTCTACGATGTATATATATATATGTATATAATGATAGCTTGGCTTAAGTTCCTTGACAGCAATCCAGGTTGCTTACAACTGGAGACTTGGTGGGCTACCGCATGTTGCTGAACATGCAGTCGGTCCACCTGCGAGACCTGCCCCATGACGGCTTGCTTGAGCCCATTCCGGGCTTTGTTGACCGCCCGGGTCAGGACAATGTATCTGCGGCAGCAGCACGCTTCATGTACCAAAATGGCTTTGAAACTGTGCACGAGGCAGACTTTGGTGGCTGGTTCCCTCTTCACTATGCTGCTCTGCGAGGCGATCCACTGGTGATTCAGGGCTTGCTCTCCCTGCGTGCAGATCCTGACTGCCAGACGCGCAAGGAACAGTCGCTGAGTGGCACAGTACTGTGGACCACAGCTCTGGCGATTTGCGTCTTCCACAAGCACAACGAGGCTGCAAGCGTGCTAATCTCTGCTAAGGCGGAGCTCCACCTGGGCCTGACTCCTGCTCTTCACGTTGCGTCGCATGCGAACAACCCAGAAGCCATTCGGATGCTCTTGCAAGCCGGGTTCCAGCCTGGTACACGGGATGGTTGGGGTGTGTCAGCCTTGATGGTAGGCTGTCTGTTTGGATCGCTTGCAGCAGTTGAGGAGCTGTGTGAGCAAGCACCCACCTCTGTTCAGCCTTGGGACCTGAGTGAGGGCCTGATATACAGTGGCATGTTCTACGGAGTCTCAGCTGACTTTGTGCGGAGGCTCGTGGAGCGGCAAGCGGATGTTAACCATCAGCGCCGGAGACCTCTCTTGCCAACCTCGCTCTTGGAGATCCTGGAGGCTCAAGGTGCTTTGCAATACAGGCTCGGCAAGAAAGGTGTTTGGGCGACATACTGTTATCACGTCAATGGCCTGACACCTCTGATGGCAGCAGTGCTTTCCGGGCAGCATGAGTCCGCGGCTGCGCTGATTGCAGCCGGTGCAAGGCTGGACATCACTAATTCACGCAGCTGGGCAGCTGCGGAATTTGGCCACGGCCAATCGCCTTCAGAATTTCTCCAGCAGGCCTTTCAGGGACGCACAGAAGGCTGCCGAAGAGTTGCGGCATTGGCCACAGGCTACGTTTCAGAGAATTTCTGATGATCACGGACATCCACAAGAATTCACGACCCTTTTCTGAGAGGCTACAAAGAGGAACCCCAGTATCTGGGGTATACTCTGGTGGGGACAGGGGGAAATGACACCTAGCTCGCAGCTTCAGAAGCCTAAAGGCTTCGCAAATGCAGCTTTCGCGCAGGAGAACATGCTACCGGGGCAGTCTGGCTATTTGCAGGAGAGTGGGGATCAGTATGTAGCTATTAAGTCAACTACCACTGCATATACCTAACGCGTTTAATTAGTGGACCCATGCCTCAGACATCTGATTTAGACAGACTATAACTTCACCCAGAAGGCAGGTTGCTAAACCCTGAACTCTGAGCTCTAAACTGGGTTGCTGTTAAG